ATTAACAAAATAAATTTTATATTTAGTAATATGGAATGAACATTTTTATTTTGTCCCTACACTAAAGTAAAATCTAATACCTATATAAAAATAGTAACATAAATTAAAAGTCCTATTTATTTATGTAAGTATAAAATTTATTAGAAATTTATCTATAATTCTTTAGTTGTAACATTATAAATTCTCTTAGTTATTACTAATTATTGCAAATGTTATTCACACTCTTTTACACTTTTTAGTTATAATATTATGAATTCTCATAGTTATTGCATTAATTATTTCTATCTTTCATCTTTCCTTATATTAACTTTTGACCAATAATTTTTCATATAATTATCCCACCCCTATATATGTGATAACACGGTGTTGTTATTTTTCCTTGGACGAATCATGCTTGGTTGAATAAATTGAAAATTGTTTACAAGTATATGAACTATATCTTTGTTGGGTGTAAGATAAACAGGTGATTATATATATGATTTCATAGATAGCATATATTTTTTAATTTTAATTTTTAGTTTTTTCGGTAAAAAAAAAGGAAACCTTTCTCAATTAACTAGGGACATTCAAATAACTATCTTTGATTTATGTACACAGTCAATCGAAAAGTCAAATATGAGAGCCAACAAAAAGAACGTCATCTATTATGTTATAATTTATAAAATAAAAATTACAAAAATAGTTCTAAAAAATAAAATGTAGTGTTCTCCAAATGTTCATATGACATCCAAACAGATTAAGTGGAATACATGTGCAAAACACATCTGGATAGATGATAGGAGAAATACACAACAAATATTGTCTTTAAGGTAATATTAGTGAGATACGACTAATTACATGATTGAACCTTATCAAATAGAAATAAGTATATACATTACTACATTTAACTAATAAAATTTTTAATTGACCATCGTCATAGGTTCGTGTGAATAAGAGATATATATGATGATCCACTTTGCACATTCACAAAAGAATTTGCAATATTATTTTGTGCAAAGCTTATTATTCAAATCTTCGCTTAAATTTTCTGAATTGATAATCACGTACAATGCACTGTCGAAAAACTAGTATATATATAAATTTCTGAATGTTAACGAGTACATATGTACTCCACCTAGGGCCCACCTTTGGTTATAAGTTGAATTTTAAGATACTTGCACAATAAATTATGGGGTCTTATATTTATGAAAACAAGTAGTACAACTTTTGAAATCCAACTACATGTTCCAAAGGAATTAAACTACAAATATAAATAACGTAATAAAATATTGTTTTTGGTCTTAAGTATGTCATATGAGATGTTGCAATTAAAAAGTTGTCAAATTAGAAAAAAAAACATATTAAATAAAAATAAAAATAAAATAAGCTAGAAAAAATATGACAAACAAATTTAAACAAAAGGAATATAAAAAACATTCTCTTCGGAGGAATATAATGCTATGTAATTAAACGATATTGACCCAGCTATCTGTTTAATAATTCAAAGGATTAGTGGAAGCTTAGAAGCAAGCAAGTTGCAACAAAGTATTATTGGAAGCGCTTTGACACTTAGAGTAGACCATAATTATATAAATCCATTTTATTAGTGGCGGCTTTTTCTTTTTTATATGTAGTATTATTTTAATGGCGGCTTTTCTGTGGACATAGCTATCAACATTGACTTCAAATTCAATCCATTTGTTATACTGTTTGCATTGCTTGTTCATTCCCCTCTTCTAAAAAAAAAATAATTTGGTATTTTTTTCTAAAAAACAAAATTATTTGGTATTTTTGTCTATGACCTGCATTTATCAAGACTGATGCTTCTCATCTCAAGGGGCTTAGAAAGATATAACTACATATTCTATTCAAAATTTGAAGACAGTAAGTGAGGTTAGAAATTTTCGAAGGCAATGCATATCCATTAAGAAAAAAAGTGTACAACTTAAATTGAATACCACTTTCCAATTTTTGTTTTTTCTAGTTATTTTCAAACTATTCTTGAAAATATAAATAATTCAAACTATAAATCATAAATATAAATAATTAACTGACTTGAAATTATCATTAAATGAGGGGCAAAATGGAAAAAGAAAATTAACTAGTGAAATACACCTCTATTTTTGACTTTGATTGACGTGATAGAAGGTAAAACCTTAAATTAGTAAAGTCAATTCTTTTTGTACTACCTCCAATTTAGGTGAAGGATTAAATGACCGAGTCAAATCAATGATTAAACAATAATTAAAATTTTGCAGTTTACCAGATTGGAGTCTAATCAAACATGGAAATAATGTACTCCCTCCGTCCCTTTTTAGTTGTCCACTTTAGAAATGACACATAGATTAAGACAACAATGATTAGCACAGTGAAGTTACAATTTTACCCTTATGACAACTTTTCACTTCAAAATTACAACCACTTATTTGAATTCAAGTGAAATAAATTGGAGGGAAACAACATACACTTTTACAATTTTCAAGAAGTGTAAATAAGGGTATAATAGGAAAAAATTTGTTGTCCTTTCTTGATTTGTCAAAATGGACAACTAAATAGGGACAACCAAAAAAAGGGAAAATATGGACAAGTAAATAGGGACGGAGGGAGTAATTGATGGTGTAAGAAATATACAAACTTACAAAAAGTTTCATCCCAAAATCACAAATATCACAAACAAAAGGAATTTAAACCACCACTAGGAATTTATTTGATGTTGCATACAAACATAAAATTGCATGAAGAACAAGTATTTTTGCCGATACTATATGCTTTCAAATGTGTCTTCTTACATCTCACTTATGAGGGAAGAAGCAGTGCTATTAGTTTCAGCAGAAATGTCCCAAACTCTCTCAGACACCCCAAAGTTGAGGTTGTATTTTGGCTGCTTGTTTGGGGAAAACAATCCAAAATGTTTCTCAAGCTCTGGATTCTTGTTATTCTCATCAAACATGGCGAATATATAAGTCTCGATAGGTCCAGGCTTTCTCGGACTACCTTCTTTAGCATGTTGAATTAAGTTCCTCAAGTATGTTTCTGCATTGTCTTGTGTGGCACCAAATGCACCAGCAGACGGCCATCCACTCTCTGACACAACAATTCCTACAGATCCTCCTCCTGTTCGTTCCATCGCAGCATAAACAGAATCCAACATAGCATCAAATAAGTTCCTATATTGACGTGATCCATCTTGTACCACCACATTAGGTGCTGTAAAAAGAGCATACGGAAGTGAAATCTGTCCTGGATTACCAGAATAACTAAAATAAGGATAAATATTAACGAGCAAAGGTGCACGCGTATCCCTCAAAAAATCCAACAATCGGATCAGTGAACCATCTCACATCGTTCCTAAATGAACCCTGTGATGGTGGATAAGAGTTGCCAATCAACGTCATGTCTACTGACGTTGAGACCTTAATGTCATTTCCCAAACCAGCTTCACCGATTGCTTTATAAATGTTAACCAAAGCAGGAACTTGAAATGAGGTAAGAGATGATGTGCCAGTAACAGGGCTGATTTCATTCCCAACAGCTATGTACTTAATTTTAACATCTGGCCAGAAATCTTTAACGTTCTTCTGTACCCACCATCTCGCGTGTTCCATCCCAGAAGAAATGTGTTTCACATCTACATTTGGAAGTCCTAGTATCACTTCAATGTTTGATCCTCTTAACGCATTTAAAGCTCCATGATTCGGATCATAAAGCCTCAATCTTCCAATGTTTCTTGACTTGTAGAGCTGTATAACTTCGGAATGTGATGGCAAGTTGTTCCCCATCATTCCATAGCAAACACCTAATTGAGCCTCTGTTCAATAACAAGTAGAAAATGGGGTTTTAGAAACTTAACAATTCTTCTAAACTTAAAAAATTTAAAGAAGACATGCTAGGGCATATGTAGTATATATGTAATTACTGGTTCCTCCGAATCTAATAGTTTTAACTCTAAACTGTACAGTTTCAAAAGTTCACTAAATAAGTATAAATATTAGATTTTGACTGCGGTATAAATTTTGGATCTACCTCTGCTGACATCTCCTCAAATTAGAAAAGTTTGTGAGTGTTAACCGAAAAATATCAAATAACTTTGGTTAAAATGAATATAGTCCGTCATGCAAGTTAGTGTGGGAAATGATACACAACTAAGAGTATACGAAAAAAAATAAAACAACTATCAACAATATTATTTTTGAGTCAGAAATTCAAATTGTTTAAGTAGAAACCTGTAATGTGAATGCTGGTGGCAACAAGTAATCCTAGAAGCACGATAACAGCTATTTGTGAGGTAGCCATGATGTTTGATGAGAAATGTTGTTGGTACAAACTAAGATGAACTAGGACCTATTTATAACTATATGGAGATAGACTTGTGTATAATATTAATTAAAGTGGAATATTATAAGCATTTGTTAAGAGCCGCCAGGTGACTTGATCAACTTGATTATTATTTTTTTGTGGAAAAAAGAAGATGAGCTTGATGATGTATAACTTTGACTTGAAAAAAAGAAAATATAGCTAGTTAGGATTAGTTTCTTTCATCCACCACAATACGTTCCTCTTATTGTTTCTCCACATTTGCAATTTTTTTTTACGTGAATCGAGTATTTACATCATATCAAACTTTTAATTTGATCGTCAAATGTTAAAATGACGAATACATTACATAGACACACGTAATCATAGTTAGGCAATGAATGTGTATATGAAAAACAGTCTTGCGTTCCATGTTTTGATATATATTGACATATTTTTTTCCAACGTTTTGCTGACTTTTCTACTTCATTTATTTGAGGAAAATAAGATTTCTTCCTAAAGACTTAGGGGTCGTTTGGTAGAGTGTATTAGTAAAAATAATATATATATTAACTTTATGTATTAGTATTAATATAACATTGTTTAGTACATTTTTATGCCCTGTGTCTCTATTGTGTATTAATGTGTATTACTAATAACATGAATTTTTAGGTATTAATAATGCAAGGGGATATAATGTATGCATTAGCATGGTTATAAACTTAATTACCCCTTAAAACCCTTTTTACATCTTTTTCATCATAATTATGGAGGATATATATGTAAATGAATATATTTTTATGTATGGTATATTTAATTCAACAAACCAAATAATACTATGTTTAATTAATGCAAGTATAACTAATACAAACATTACTAATACATTCTATATTTAGCATTATTTTTATAAATCCTATGAAACAACCTTAGTGAATATGGATGGCATGCAGACTGTAGAAACTCAGCAGAGGCAGAGCCAAGATTAGGAGTTTGGGATTTCTAAATTTCTTTTAAAAATAAAAAGAGAAACTTTTTTGTTGATAATAGAGTTTGAACCCATAACTCTAGTGTGGAAAACATTTTCACAACTCTTATTCCTTACAACTGATCGAGTCATCAATCAATTTTGTTAGGGGTTCACAAGTTAATATACATATTATATTTATTTAATTTTTTAGTATAAATATAAAATTTACGGAAAAACTACTAAATTCATCCGAACCCACAAACCTCCACCTAGCTCCGCCTCTGCTAGAAAGGCCAGTGAATCAATAACTCAGGAGTCATTGTATTTAAATTAGTTTGTTACAGTCAGTCATTTAGTTGAGGTGTTAATCAAGACTTTAGAAATATCCAATGTGTGGAAGCAAAGAAGAAAGCAGCCCCTAGTTGGAGCAAAGTATTATTGGAAGAGGTTTGGCACTAACGTGAGGCTCACACAATTTAATATTTTAGTGGCGGCTTTTATATTTTTAGGACTTATTTTAATGGCGGCTATACTGAGGAGACAACTAAGAAGATGGACGTTAATTAAAGTTCTTATGTATAAAAAATTAAAAGGCATAATACATATATATGCCCTTTAACTTGACCTCATTTCACATTTATATCCTCCAATTTTTGGTGTGCACAAAAATGCACTTAAACTTGTATAAAGTTGAACAAGTAGACACATTAGTCTTATGTGTCACAATACACATAGGACACCACGTAGGATGTAAATTGCCATGTAGAATGCCTCATAGGACGTGTGTGTCTATTTGTTCAATTTTATACAAGTTTAAGTGTCTACTTGTACACACTCAAAGGTGGAGGACATAAATATAAAATGAGGCAAAGTTAGAGGACATATTTATGTATTATGCCAAAATAAAATAATGATATCTTGATAGTGTTTTGTCAACTATCTAAAGATAGCTACTTGCCCATAATGGACCATTTAGAAATTTCAAATGAGATATTTTTGTTTTGTTTCTTATTAATTATTTGAAAAAATTTGGAAAACTTTACAAACTTTTGGTATAATATTAGTTCCAATATCATTAAATAAAGTCTCATTTTCCACTTAATTGTTAATAGAGTTCCAACCTTAAAGGAAATTTTATCCAAAGTAAAAAAATGATGGGGTAAACTTGAACTTTTTGTTAAAGAATAAGGATACATAGATCTATCTATTTCATCTTGGACTCCACTCATAGTAATTGTAGATATTAGACGATTTTTTAATGCTAGCGAGTAACAATCTTTATGATAGTTTTGTGATTTTTGCATTTATTTTCTTATTAGTTTCTGGATATATACATGTATATATTCCATGTCAATTAGTATAATTTTTTTAAAAATAACATAAATATTGTTAAAACATGTGTTTGTAATTAACATGAATTTGAAAGTGACAAATACAGGCTCAAAAAAAATAAAAACGATGAATCAATTCGACCAACTTCACAAATGAGTATGACTAGAAAATAATTAATTAGTTGTTCAACTCGCATATCATATATCATATCATCATCATCATATCATATCATATATTACTAAAAATGAGAAGCTCCAAAGTGTAAAGTTGAAATATCATTTTACCCCTATACTAATTTTTTTATTATAAAAAAAGTCATATATTATTAGTTATTATATATTAAATATTATGAGATGATAGAAATCTAATTTTTTTTTTAATGAAATAGTAAAATGCATGAGGAATTTGAAAAGTGTTGTAAAACAAGAGGAAAATGCAAGAATACTTAAACAAGAAAGTAAGACAAAGTGTGATGGAAATTATAAAGTTGAGAGCCTTATTTTAATCTCTTCAATGGTGTTTCACAAGGGTGAAAGACTACCCTTTTATAGGATATTCAAACCATCCTTTTACAACATTTGACAAATATGTTAGTATAGTGTTTAAATAATATAATAAATAGTAACATTACGTTAGGAATAGATCAAGAGAAACATCCACAATTAAATGGATTTGTAACAAAATGTAACACCCCAGAAAATTCTTGAGCTAAGACTTGAACCATCCTTCGTTGTGAGTAGGATTTTACTGAGGAATTAAAATTTCGTAAGTGTTAAGTTCACTAGATGTAGCACCTTGAGTTCGAAAAAGAACTAAAATGGAAATAGCAAAATCTGAAATTTTGCAAGTTAAGCTAAGTATGAGTTTTGGGTTGACTTCAAACGACTATAACTCCTAGCTCAGGATGAGTTAGGTGTTCTACCAGTTACCGTAGGAAAGAACTTTGAATTATCTTTCCAACGCCGCCGAGTTTTCTAAGCTTCGAGGTCGGATGAGTGAGATATGGCATTTTGAAGTTAGGTTGTCCTGTTAAGGAAAGTTAGCCGAAAATAGTAAGGGATATTTTGGTATTTTCTTTACCCAAATAGATTTAATTCGTTTTTAGTAATATTTTAGGGGTCTAATCTGATTCGATTCAGTTTTATAATCCTAATATACACCTAGGGTTTTAGTTGAGAGTTCAAGATGAGAAAAGAAGAGAAAAGAGGAGAAAAGAGGAGAGGATCAAGCGTTCATCGAGATTCTTGCATGTTGTAGAGGATTTTCGCCATGGGTTTGATCCTTAAGAGGTATGTAAGCTTCCATAGTGTTGGGTTTGTTCACCCACACGCCAAATATGTTATTTTCAGCGCAAATTTCAATCTTGAAGTTGAAAGATTTGAGTTCTTGATGAGTTCTTGATAGGTGTTCTTGAAGTTCATTCTAAATCTTGTAGTGTTGGGTTTTGATGATTTTTGTGAGATTAAAGTGAGTGTTTTTAGGGCTGTATTGAGTAGATTAGAGTGTACTTATGTTGAGTAATAGAATCCAAGTGATTGGGGAAGAAACCATTCGATTATAGGAGAAATAGGGTGAGAAGACGAGCAAAAAATTTCGTTGGATTTTCTAGGTTGGGGCCTGGCGTGATGCGCCAGCGAGAGTGCCCCAAACTCTCCTCTGAAGTTTAGGGCCTGGCGTCCCGCGCCACCCATAGCGCCAGGGTCGCCTGCCCCATCCAGTTTGTCGTCGGTTACCCCGTTGAGTTCTTTAAAGTGCACCTTCACTCCTTTTCGATTCTAACTACTCTAAGCTACTTCTAAACACCTAGAAATCATTCATAACATGATCATAACCTTGAATTCATAATTCAAATTCAAGGTAGAGCAAAGAGTTAAGTTTTGAGAGTTCTTTCGAACATTCTAAGAAAGTCCCTTTGAGTCTTTTTGTGGAGTCTTCTACAACTTTTACTAACTTGTTTCAAGACTCGAGCAAGTGAGTATGAGGATGCGGAGAATGTATTCATGAGTCTACTTTGTCATCATGAGATCCTTCATATCATGAACCATAACTCTTGAATTCATAATTCACATTCAAGAGAGAGTTAAGAGTACAGTTCAAGAAAGCCTTTGAGTTCGATTGTCAACCCTATGAGATCAACTATTGATTTGAACTAAGTTATGTAAGTAAGAGAATGAGAATAATAGTATTCATGAGTTCCATAATGTTATGTAGACCTACGAGTCAAGTCGTTTATGCCCATAAATTCCGCATGAACTCCAGAAGTTGAGTATCTATGAGAGGAGTAGTATCTTCATGTCCTAAGTCTTAAGTATTGAGTTTCTAACCCATTTGAGATTATATTCCTAATCATGGGACTATTACATGTTACCCATGAAGTCCTTGAGTTGGGTTATTCATGTCCATAATTCTGCATGAACCTTATCAGTCGAGCAGTCTTGAGATGAGAAGTATCTTTAAGTCCTTGAGTGGAGTAGTTCATCCTCATAAATTCCGCATGAAACCTCTGAGTTGAGCATTCTTGAAGTGAGTAGTATTATTGAAGTTCTTGAGTTCCAAGTATTGAGTTTGATCTATGGTCATTGAAAACCTTGCATTGAGTAGTTCATGTCCATAATTCGGCATGAACCATATTTTAAGAAGTCTTTTACAAATGTTTAAACTTTGTTTTAAGACTTACGCTTTGAAGTTGAGTAAAGAGTAAGAGCAAAGTTCATTTTCTTTAAAATGATATATGGGAACTAAGT